TGATAGGAATTTAGCCTTGACCCTTTCTAGAACATATCGGCCTCTAACTCTAAAGTGCCTTGCGTTAGTTAAAAAGGTTATGTATACGGTTGTCAGAGCAGACACAAGTAGTTGAAGCTTGTACACAGGTTTCTTCGAAGTGTTGTCTTGTTTAACTTTGCAGAAGCATTAATATATGTATGACTATGTGTGTATATATAAACATATACCAGTGTATTTGGCCCAATCCCATGAAGTATTTCTGAGGAAAATAATTGAAAACAAACACTGTCAGTGCCTGTGCCCTGACTTCAACCTTAGAAATGATCTTCCCCCTCTCCCACTTCCATCTACACACCCACTCATTCCTTGGTCGTGGTGCTCTTTCAGTGCAGCTTTGGGCTTTGAAATTAGGTTTTTCAATTTAGTGTTTGGGAGTATGCAAACATGGACACATGATTTTGTATAGCAACATCTAAAAATGCTTTCTGAACAGTAACTTTCATTTGTTCTATTATAATAATTCTGCGGTGAATGAAGAAGTCTTTTAGTTGTATGTTGAAATTTCCTCTAACTGAAATGACCTTCTACTGTGTTTAAAAAATCTTTTTATTCTTGCTTTTAAATTCAATAGAAAATCATGTATGTCCAGGTACAACTTTTGCTACTTATAAATATGGGAAAACGCATTGTTTACATTCACGTAAATGACAGTTTAGCAACTTGGAGGAGGAATATCAAGAAAGGTTATTGTTGTTGTTTTTTTTTTGTTTTTTTTTAGCATTTACAACATAGAAGGCAGGCTAAACACTTCTGGTATTGCATGTTATGCGATATATTAACCAGCTATGAAAAAGACAAAAAAGTTCGCACTGTGTCACTGCCAGATTATTTGTATTGACTTACTTTTAGTGTAGTAAAGGCTTAATAACTTCTGCAAGCTTTGCTGCTACTGGAAAAGGTATTAATGTAGTTTCTTCTTATACATTTAGATGTTTGAATGTCGTCGTGCATCCATGGCTCAGATTTCAGAAATTATGAAATTTTCTTTCTACATTTAAATGGACTAAGTCTTACTTCATTGAATTATTCATCTGTTAATCCATTTTATGTGCTTTAGTAATGATATCACAGACCTGTCCTACTGTACATTCTTTTTAAATTGATTGAAAGTAAACATTTTGGTTGGAGTTCTTTTCCCACATACACTGGGTAGCAGTGTACAGTGCAGCTAATTTCACAGGGTCATTTGGTCTGTTTTGTGTTGCCTGTGAAGCCAACTAAATGATGTCTGTTGTGAAAATCTAAAAATGAACCAAAGTGGTGCTCTTGTAGCTCTCCAGACATGTACTCCGAAGGGAATTTTACCCTTGAACAGAAATCAAATAATTACTAAGGTACATGAGAGGTCGGCCTTTAGTTGTGAAGAGGTCTGCATCTTCACCAGAGCTATAAATGGAAGGTCAGAGCACCAGGGTCATCTAGATGAAACTGAAACATAGTCCAGCATTGTGAGTGGTAGGAATTCTGTTTTTGGATAATTTTTTTTTTTTTTTTTGCTTTAATATTTCATTCAGTGGGACATATAACCTCTTTTTGCATAAACAACAGGACTAATATAACATTAATGGACTTCAGCCCATTTTTTAAAAACCATTTTTACCAAAGCCCTGTATGTTGTTATTTCTTTTGTATTACATTTCATTATTCTTTTCTTCAGTAAGAAACCTAAAGTTATTTTAAAAGTAATCACCTAGTACCTTAAGTGGGTATGTTGATTAACAGTAATTATTTCTTCTATCTCAAGCTAGTTATAGTGAGCTGATACACAAATGATCAAAAATGCATGAGTCAGATCCTGACAAAATGTGTACATTTGATTTTGTGTTCATTTAACATTGACGTTTATGGCAGATTTGTGCAATACTGGCTCGCACATGCTGACCTTAAGCGAGGAGTCAGTGTCGGTTAATTGTTGTCTACAGTGAAGGTGAATTACATCTGTGCTTCTGAAGTGGCCATATAAACTTCGCTACAGTACTGTTGTGAAGTTAATTTTGTTCAATTTTGCTTAAATACATATTCTTGATCACTTTGGAAATTGATGGTTATGCATTATATGCTGTTATGATAGGCCTGCAGTGACTGTAAGGTGCTTTGTTTCTATCTGACTGGTTGTGGTCCAATTCTTTTTGTTTTTTTTCCCCCTTTGTAAAATTAAAAGGGACAGATGGTGATTGTCATGAACATCAGTGGCAGATACGGAGGTAAATAAAACTAAGTTGGTGTTAGGATAATCTGTTGATGGCCCTCGGTCTGACTAGTGGTATACTCTCCCCAATTCAAGTTTTCTAAACAGAAATGAAACAAACAATTGTTTGGTGTAAGAACTGCTTACATTTATACAGATTTGTTAAATTTACAGTCATGGCCAAAAATATTGGCACCCCTGCATTTTTGTCAGATAACACCACTTCTCCCAAAAAAAGTTTTGCAATCACCAAGTCTTTGGTATTCTCACGTTTATTTCTTAGGTTTGCACTGGAACAACACAACAAAGCCAAATCTGGTGCATTCCACACAGAGCTTCAATAATGGACTAGACCAAGTTATTGATAGCTTTTCAAAATCATCAGAAACGGTTGTATTTCCAGCATGTGATGTTGCTTTAATTTGTAGTGAAACTCACCTGTAGCAACCAACAGGTGCTGGCAACATAGAAATCACACTGGCAACCAGATAAAATGGTGTGTGTGTGTGTGTGTGTGTGAGAGAGAGAGAGAGTGAGATTATGAAATCTACCAATGAATTCTGGGGAACAATGTAGTGTCAGAAAGTTGGGTCTCCATCAGAGGTCATGGGTCCTACAGTACCAGGAATGGTTCAGGCAATGCACTGGAGCATTCTGAAATGGTCAGCAATGAGTCTGGATCTAAATCCCATAGAGCCCCTGTGGAGAGATCTCAAAACAGCAATTAGAAGTAACTCTTCAAATCTCAGTCACCTGGAGCTGTTGGCAAAAGAAGAGTGGTCCAAAATTCCAGTAGAGAGGTGGAAGAAACTCACTGATGGTTACAGGAAGTGACTGATTTCAGTTATTTTGTCCAAAGGGTGTGCTACCAAATATTAAGTTGAGGGTGTCAGTAATTCTGCCAAGTCCATTTTTAGAGTTCTGTGTGGAAAGGATCAGGATTGGATTTTGTTCTCTGCTGTTTTGAGTTGTTCCAGTACAAACAATATGAATGAACATGAGAATATGAAAGAAGGTGTGATTGCAACAATTTTCTGGGAGTAGCGGTGCGTTATCTGACAGAAATGCAGGGGTGCCACTATTTTTTGGCCACGACTGTGTCTCTGGCGGACCAATTACACTTTGAAGTACATCTGTGCCTTTAATAATTGCATCATGCCATTTGGTTTTCAAGAGAATATTTCTGAGATGGCGCTCTCTCTGAGTCAGAATACTAAATCTAATGTCTAATTACAATCAAAATTCTAGTGCCTTACAAAGTTTTTGTGGACCACAGTGTGATTGTCAAATGATCCTCAGAATTCAGGCCACCTAAACCGAGGGGAAAAGTTTAATGAGGGTTGCTACACCAGTTTAACAGGATGAAGCAAAGGTTATATGTGACTGATAATTGTCCATCTCAGTCTGTATCTTCCATATTGTTCAAGAAAGCAGCAGTATAACCACTGAATAGACTATTTTGATCTCACTTAGTCATTTGGCACCAAAACCTCAATTGTTTGTAAGGAAAAGCACCAAATAGGAAGAATCTTGTAAATGAAATGTCATAGATGTATCATTATTCTCTGCATTGAAACAGTTTAATCAATTTTGCATTATTGTTAGTTGTTGTGTTGTCTTTTTGTTTTTACTATTATAAAAATGGAGCCTGAAGATTTATGCAATCTTGTACATGTATATGATATTTGGAGCTGTTGAAATTAAGCAAAATACTAGTTAGTACAACTGTTATCAAAAGTAAATCATCTGAATGTGGAACCAGTTGTTCCATATACCTTAGAAAATTTCAGTAGAAATGTTATTTTAACATTGAAGCCCTGAAATATTGAATGTATTGTTCTAAATTAGATATTCAATGAATAGGTCACTGGATATTATGGATCGCAGTTAATTCATTATGATGTAGCATCTAGATGTGAACTGCTATTCAATAAAATTTATTAGAACTAAAATGAATGCAAGTTTTCATTTGCCAGCATGATAAGGAGATATAAGGAAAGAAATGCATTTTTCGCAGGGTAACACAATGATTTAATGCAGAATGTGTTAAATCTGAGGAAACTGCATTTCGTAGATTTATTTACTTAATGTCAGTGGGTTTAGCCATTATTTATTGATAGATTAAATAAATATGTCCCTTATTTTGTGACAAGTTGTATGGATATGTAGGAAATTCTCTATTGATAATCATAGAAATTATTCTGTTGGTATATTGATATTTTTTTGTGTTGTGAACACAAAAATAGGTGTAAGTCTTAGAATACTAGATTTTTCTTTTCTACATTGATGATTGTGTGCCGCATATTTTCTGTAGTGTATTATTAGTTTGTTAACACTTGTTAAAATGTTACACTACAGTTATGCAATGGTTTACAGAGGTCCCAAAATTATTTTTATCATCTTGAGAATTAAAGTAATTTTTCATCTGAAATGTGTGAATACTTTGTCTCTAACATAACTTACAGAATCAAGTTCTTAAAATAGTGCTCGTGTTACTCAAGTGGACACCAGATGTAAGTTTGTTTAGAAAAAATACATTTATTGCATTACAGGGAAAAAAAAAGCATTTCTATTGAAACAATTATGGAGCTATTTAAGAAATGCATTTTTCAGACTAGACATCTTATGAAAATGTTTATAAAAGCTGCTTATTTCATAAATGTCCGCAAACATTTGAGTTTTATGGCACAATAGCATGACAGCCCTCAGGAGACAAGGCATTAAATAGGTAGCATATCAGCTGCTTGGCCTGAAGGAGAGAACAGAACAGTACGGTGACAAAGAGTAAAACTGTTCCTATTTGATTGACCAACTGAAAATAATACAACAAAAACAATGCACAATGAGGTGCCTGATTACACATTACTTGTTTAATATATTTTAAAATACAAGCCTAGAAGCCAAAAGCTTAACTATATTCACGATTTACCTGTTTTTCACTTTCTGGGTAGATGATCATCTTTTCCGCCTTCTCTAGGTCTGACCTCTCTCTGTAAATCCTAGTGTAATAATGAAAGGCACAAAAAAAGAAAATGTATGTGTATATGAGTATTCTGAATGTATACACAATAGGTTTGAGTTGTCTTCTTTCATACCTTTTAAGGGTTAAGTTAAAACCAGTCACAATCTTGTCCCCTTGCAGTGCAATGATGAGACATGGGGCCATGTAAAGGTGAGTCATCTATCAAGGGCATAAAAGAGCTGGGAAAATCATCTGATTGCACTGTTGGTAAGAAAGTCTGCTCTGTGGCAGCTTGTGACAAATAGCCACTCTGCTCACCCTCTCATCTCCACTTGATGACACTCTCACTATATCAGCAATATGTTTCCTCTGCTTGTTGTCCAGTATGCTCATCCTCCCTGCCACCAGATGGCAGCCTGACCTCAGCAGCTTCCCCAGCAGCTCCAGCTGGGCAGGTACTTGGCTGAGTGGTGGAGCGTTTAAGGGTATCAGCAGACAGGTTGTCTGCCAGAGAGCACCGTGTATCAGGAACCCTGGAACCAGTCAACAAGCAAAGCTGGACTTGTTTTCAGCACAGTTTACAAAGCCAATCTGGAGCTGAGTCATATTTTAACATTCAACATTTCAAAGTCCCAGTAAATGATTAGGTAATGTAGATACATATTTAGCTTTGATAAGTGATTGAACCATGCCTTGGAAAGTGTTTTAATTTTAAAATCAGTTCAATATAACGACAATGTGCAGGAAGATGTGAATTTCTGTGAGTATGAGTACACTACTCTTCTAACCTGATGGCACAGGCTAGTTTTGCAGGACTGGTTTTAAATGCACATTTTGTTTGTTTATAAAAAGAAAACCAGAGAATAAATCCAAACCTCCATTTGCTCCGGATCCCACTGAAGGCGTTAGACCTTCCTGGGCCATGGGGGCCAGTGTGCAGGTCTGTTCACGTTCCTTGGAGGCTAAAGGATCTGAGCACAAACTGAGTATCTGAAACCAAGAGGAGGCACAGAATGTCTGTCTTTTATCAGCCCCTGTAGTCAAACCAGTAGTCCTGTGTGTGACATGTACCTGCTCCTGTCTCATTGTGCTGGTCTCAGTACAGCAAAGCCCATCTGGGAAAAGCTTTTTCACATCCACAGTTGCTTTCTGATATGATCCCGATCCTATAACATTAAATTACTGATGTTTAAACATACAGTTGCATGGACTGCAATTCTGTTCTAAAATATGTACCAGTATGCATCACAGGGCACTGACCACTGAGGCCATTATATAAATGAGCCATACCGTAACAGTCCATCCACAGGGATGAGTCCTCTTGGTCCAACATGTCCAACAGCCTCTTCACAGCATTTAACCCCTGAAGGCAGAGAGCCAGTGAGGAACCCGAGCACAGGCACTCCACATGGGCCTCCACCTCTGAGGGGTCCTGCACTCAAAAATTAAAGACTGTATGAATTCTAAGTGTTTTATTCTGCCTTACTGAAAACTGAATTTTCATTTAGACATATTCAGTTACACTTTCTGAAGACAGCAGTGAGGTAGTGTCACTTTTATCCAGGGTCACTACTCGCATGCCCACCACCATGAGGCCACTCTGCTGGAGTTTATGGAAAATTTTATCCAGAGCGTGATTCCAAACTCTTGGCTTGAACAGGCACACGGTGAGCAGCATCTCTGGATCTAAATGCAAAAATTGTCTTGTTGCATTTACAAGTTATAAAGCAGCTATTATCACATCAGTTTAGGGACGGAACGCACAGAAACTAACCAGGATCATGATGAGACATCAGTATGCATATTTCAGGTTGCCACTTTTGTACACTGAGCTTTATGATCTAATTTTCAGATTTATAGTAAATATAATATTTGTGTTCTGATTTGTGATTTGAAGGTGTACAGTGTATGGTGTAATTGGTGCTTTACTGAGTTTTTCAGTTTAATGGCTCAAATGTATGTAGTGAAAAAAATGAAGCATCTTATAGGCTGAAATTCAACTGTGGCTCCTTTGGCAAAGTGAAAATATAAGAATAATGCATGTGATGGACAGTTATTTGTAACGCTCCATGTAGTTGCTAGCTCATTAGCTGTATATATTATTTAAAATGGGACAGATTCCTTTTTTACACAAACCTTTTTTACTGCAGTTTTGGGGAAGAAACGTTCGAATGCTCCAGTCTGTTGAGGAAAGAAGTGGAGTGATGAGCCCATTGCTAGCTGATACGCACAAGACTATATGCGTATCTATCTTTACTGTTGTGATAAGCAGCGATAGACTTCAAACTGCAGCATCTCTTCAAGATGTTTGATTATGATTGCATATTCCACACAGCACTCAACAAGCTTACCAAGGATGATATTGTGCTCAAAGAAGAGGGAGGCTTGTCTGAAGGCCACTTCAGGTGTGGGTGACATCAGGACACTCAGGTTATCAGGGTAATCGTGCGGCAGGAGCTTTTTCAGTGTAGGAAAAGCATCTGTCCATCTAAGAGCACACACAAGGGCAGGAGAGGACATCAGACTGTCCAGGCTGTTGTGGAAAAGCTGCTCTCCCACCTCGTAAGGACTCAGTTCCTGGGCCTGAAGTCGTGTCAACACAGGCAGCCACTTCAAGCCAAGCAGCTCGAATCCTGCGTGTCCTACGTCACCTTAAATACCAATTAAAAATACACCACAAATAAAATATGAGGGGGTAAGCTAAGAAAATTATGATGAAATAATTCACTCAAACATTTGTTTATCCATTAAACTGTGCTGCTATGTGTATTTAGTTTGTTTACTGCCACCTCCAAAATCCAGGACAGACTGTGCTCTCAGAAACCCAGGTGAACTTCCCCCACCTTCTGGTGCTTCTGTTAGCAGTCTGTGTAGGAGGTTCAGGCCTTGGCTCATGTCCTTCCAGCACAGGGTCAAAATGACCACCTGCTCCATGTTAGAGTTGGCTGGACACTGCTGATGGGACAGGATCACACCAGAAGGATCTGGCACTGTCCACATACGCCTGACTAGAAAAAAAGATACATAAGATACAGAAATGGCAACAGTAGAGGAGCATCTGTTGAAGTCTTAAATGACACTGGACACACAGTGCTTACCAAAGGTATGGTACAGCTTACTGCTATAAGGCACAGTGTGGAAACAGAAGCTTGGCTCCAGTGTTTGAACACCATTTCCCCTGGAACTGATGCAACCCAGAAGCCTTGCAACCTTAAATTCTCTCATTAGAGCTGAAACAATATGACAGTTAAACATGGTTATTATAATGGCAAAGAAAATCATGACCATGCAGACTTTCTGAATTATTACATTCTGTATTGTTTGAGTGTAATTTATGGAGATGCATTATGCCACAGATAGACTCTGCACTGAGACCTGCTGGCAGACTAACACTGTGATGAACTGCATTTTCTTTCCTCAGTATCAACACCAGACACCGAGAGGGAAGCTCCAACTTTTCCTGATCCAGGGTCTCAGCAGATGGACTGCAGAACACATGTGCCTAGGAAAAATATACAGACTTCAAGAACTGCAAATTCTGAAACTTCCTACAAAAAAGGTATGAAATATAAAAGCAAATAGTGTCATAGTAGTTCTACCTGCTGGCCGGTGAGTCCAAGGATGGCGGCTCCATTGCTCCGAAGCTGCAGTCTCTGCAGTCCCCTCAGACTGAAGCCTCTACGTTCACATACAGCCAACACCTGGCTGTAACAACACGGAGGCACGACAGGTGACACCACAAGGAGTATGTCAGCTAAGCAGGAGAGAGAGAGGGATTAGGAGCGCCACTCAAGTAACAGTCTCTTTTCACAGTAAACAAAATCGGTCAGAACAGTATGGGTGAAAGCTGAAAAGAAATGTGGACAAAAGCCAGTTTTCCTCCTTGTGATAGCTTTGGTTTGCTGAGCTACAGCAGCTACCTTTAGTTGTGGCACATAGAAGGGCAGGTGAGCTGCTTAACTTGAACAGGCTGCCCCTGACTCCATGACCTGAAGTTACAACTCTACAAACAAGAGTGAGAGTGATATGATCAGAATAAAAACAGTGTCACAGTAATAAAAAACTTAGTATGTACTCAGTAAACCATCTTGGCTATAAGGGATTTCAGCCATAGAATTTCCTGCTAAAATGTCTATTAGCATGTGTAAATAGATCAGAATCAGAATCTAGAATGTTTTGCTTGTGTGTGTTTCTATTAAATGTAGCTTAGGCAGCAGTTTGGGGTTTTATTTGAACATTAAAGTTTTAAAGATTTAGTTGCACCATGTAAAAATTCGATTTTTAAAAGAAATCTCAGTTTTCCTGCAGTTAATTTAAAATTTCTAAACGTAATCAGGGAATCCATCCTTCCCTTATTCTAATGACTTTTTTTGAGAAAAGCAAAACATAAAACATACACAAAGTCAGAAATATCAGGCTTTCAGTGACCTTTAGCATGGACTTTTAACAGCAGACCTATTCAGAGGGTGGTTATGATTCTGTGCACTTCCTCCCTGAAATCTTCCTGAGAACCACAAGCACAGCTCCCTGTGGACTTGACTGGCCAGAGGTGGGGAGTAGAAGACCGGACGTTCTTTGCAGTGGAGAGGGCTGACAGGGGTGTGATCTGTGATTTTGTACACCAGAGGATGTAAGGTACTAGTTAAATCCTTCAACACTGAGTGAGCATGAGGGCCACGAACAGCTAGGACCAAGACAGGCTGGCAGGTCTCCTCAACTGTCTGAATAACTGGTAGACCACCTATGAATCAGAAATACAATTACAAAGGTCCCAGGACAGAGCTGGATCAAGGGCACAGACCAGACCAATGTGCCAGAAAGAGAAGCACAGATGGCTTTACTTATGCCCTACCAGCGCTGTGACTCAGGAAGCTTTGTGATGGGTAAAGGAGCCGAAGACCACACACATCCAGTCCTAACTCGATGACAAGCTGAAAGGTGTAGTGTGTTATGAGGGGATGTAGGAAGAAGCTACTGCACCCCAGAGCAAAAGATGCCTACAGCAAAAATAAACATACAGTATACTGCTTACTTTACTCAACCATTACTGGTTTGGCTGTAAGAAAGTAATTAAAAAAGAAAAACTAGCACTACAAAGTACACTTCTGAAAGACAACACACTCACCTCCGTGTGCAGATTTTGTGTTGTTTCACTCCACTTACAAACATGCTCCTGGGTTTCTACTGTCTGCCAATAAAACCCTGGACTGACACCAAATGTCCGCTCTATAACCTGAAATTCAAAGAAAAAGGAAAAGTCAACAGAATGCAAAATAATCTTAGACCTTTAAACCAAATTAAATCGCATTCTCTCTAGCCAACCACCTTTTTGCTGGAGGTGACAGAGATAAAGTAACTTAAACTAGAAGAAGGCAGGTGGATGGGTGAGGCAAAGGCTCGTTGGTCCAGCAAGATGTTGAGCTCAGGGAGCCAGTGGGCAATTTGAGCGAGTGAGGTCTCAGAAAGAAACCTGCAGATGTGGTTGTAGAAAGGTGCACGAACGTCTCTGTCCCTCTTCTACAAAACAAACCAAACAAACAGTGTCAATGCCAAGCTCATCAGACATTGTAAACTCTAAAGGGTAAGTGTTGCTTTTGTTTTTTGCTATTTACCCTTGTTGTATAACAACGACGAGCCACAGCTAAAACATGCAAAGCCAGTCCATCCTCTGTCCACATCTGCTGAAGTCCTGCAACCCAGAATGGGACTTTTGCACTATCCTCATCTTTATCGTGCTGTGGGTCAGGGCCGACCTAGAAACAAGTGGTGAGGCATGAATTCAGCTTCACAAACCAACAACCTGTGGCCTATGTTAGGAGAGGGCAGCCACTGCTCACTAACCAAAGAGAGACACCAAGCCACTAAAGTGTTGTAGATATGTGAATTGGTTGCAGCTGGATACAGATGTTTCCTCTTTCCAGGAGCTCTGTCTCCAATCATACCAGGACTGGAGAGACTGACAGTCAGTAGTATGCAGCCCTCACGTTTAACATCTTCAGGTAGTGTACTGACTGACTGTAGATGTGATGCTTCCTGAAAAACAACTCAGAGTAGCTGCAGGCAAATTTCAAAATCTTGGAAATGTATTTCTCTTTTAAACTTTTGGCACTTACAGAATCATAAAGAATGTCTGTCCTTTCAGCAGCCTGCTGCTTCTGATACACAGATTTGGTTGGACAGTGTAATTCCAGCTGCTTAAGAATTTTCTGGTGCTCTTCATGCTGTAATGTCTGCTCAGGTTGTGGTCTCTGTTGGCCACTAGCCGAAGAATCATCATAGTTAAGATGTCTTATAGTAAATAATGTGCTGAATGTATAAAGAATAAACATACCTCTGCTGTGTTGTTGGGTCTTTGACTGAACGTTGCTGAACAGCTGGTGTGCTTCTTGTTTTAGGTTTTCTGGACTGTACAGCTAAAGATTGTTTAGCTTCCCAGAGATGTTGTGATTCAAGGCTACATGTGGAATCTACAGCTGAAGGTGGCTTTTCTTTTAATTCTACTGAATCTGGATGATGTGTGCATTTACTGAGGTATTTATTCTCATTTCTTTTCATTTCCCTTATTTTCTGGAGCAACATACTCTTGCCGGTCACTTCCCTGTAAGCAGACAAATGACAGTACAACCTGAAACAAAATTTTCTTGGCTGAAGCATGACATGTTTCTAATGCAGGATATATTTACCTGTCCTCCAGCCGTGACCCACTGTGCATTTTGTGATTGGATTTCTTTACAGATGGTACTTCCTGGTGAGTGTTTTGTTTGGCTGGTGAACTGGAGTCTGATGAAAGATTTGGGGATGTTCTTGGTGGTTTTAATGAAGGACTGCGGCAACGCAAGTCAATGAAAACAGTGGGACATTCCGTGTGGGTCAGCTCCGACTCTGCTGCCGTCCTTTCCAGTGGTTTAGTCCACACATTATTCTGTCTGCATGAAACAGGTCATTTGTGTTATCATCTTACAAATTTGGTTACAAAAACAGTGATATAACTTGCCTGTTGTGGTTTGGACTTTTCCCAGGCTCTGACACCGGTTTAGGTGACTGGCTCTTACAGAAAGCAGCTAGTCTCTCCATTATATTCTCCTGGGCTCTGTCCTTGCCACTATCTATGAACAAAAACTGATTAGAAATTACAAGGTAATACATTCAGAATGTAAATTATTAAATACATAATCCCTCATAATTACCCATAAACCCTTTATCATTCAATACAGCTACAGAGGTATAATTACTTACTTTCATGTGTATTCACGAGTTCAGCTGATCCATGGTGATGGAGAAGCAGAAGTGAATCCTTTTTCAAAGTTTGGAGAACATTATCCAGATCCCACTGTTCAAGCCTCTGAATGTAGGCATGAAACAAATAGTTTTTTTTAAACATATAGTTTCTGGAGAATATTTATGTGTATCAACCAGATGTAGTATAGATTATGTTTCCCAAACTCACCGCAAAAGAAAGAACAGGGAATCCCTGATAAGATTCTGTGCTGTCCACAGTGGATTTAACAGAGGCATTCAGCCTGGCTCTGTTCACCTCTAAAGAATTGCCCTCACAAACATCCTTTAATGGTGAAACAGGAAAGGAAGTGGCGCCCATTCAGTGTATCATAGTGCTTTACTCTCCCCCAGAACAGCAGCTGCAGATTTATATACAGTAACTCACCTCAGCAGCATTGTCACCATGTTGTTTACCCCACTGAGTTGCAGTAATGCTTTCTACAATTTCATCATCATCATCCAACTTCACACTCTGCCTGCAGGTCTTTTCTGAGCAGCATGTCTTTGCTGCAGGTTCCAACAGCTCCTGATTGTGAAAACACAAATAAATATCAGTGATTAGTGATTATGTTTGTTTGGGGTTGGGGTCCTTATGATAACTAACCTCCAATTCTGCATCCTCCACCGACCGACTGTCCGTGTCTTCAGGGAGCTGCAGGGAAAGACCAGCTGGTCTTTGATATATGGTGACAAACTCTTCATTCTCATTCTGTAACGTTAAAATGAAATATTACTTAGAGTTATTTGTATTTACACATAAAGCTGCGTGTATTTTCTTGTTAGTTAGCAAACATAAACACATTTTCCAAAGAATGAAACATAACCTACTGCTGAAGAAGTAAAGTCCATGGTCGGTATGTGTGGCTTTACTTTCTCCAGAACTGAATTCCAACATGAGGAAGGATCAGAATCCATATCCAGCTGACAGAAACAACAGTGTATAAGATAAAGTACTTTGTTTTTCTAACGTTTACTGTTTATGTGGTAGCTGATTACCTGAGGGTTACCAATGGCAACGGACGCACGTGTCAACGGTGCTGCCTTCAGGTGCGACTAGAAATATCGTAACTAGACAGGGGCGTGCTTTACACCTGGACAAATGGTTAGAACTTCTGTTGTGGCTGTTCATGAAAACGAGAGAGAGATATGGTAGGTCGGTTAGGTTCAGGATGCTGCACAAATATGACCTTTAAATGTTTAGCGTTCTGACTTGTTGATTTGCATCATGAAGCTGGACTAGTGCGTTGCCAGCTTGCGCAAACGTTTTTTGTGTTCCGATGATGCGTTGACCATACCAAGCCAACGGTTTGACTGAAAGGTAACGTTAGGCAACACATGTTATGCTCATGGTCACATACCAGTTTAGCGTCACATGGACTTATCACCGTGAAACCTTTAAGTTGTGTCTATTCATGAGACATCGTGCTGTTTCGTGTTTGTCAGTGGTGCATCATGGGTAGGCCTCCTGTGTGATCTGGCCCCTAGATGTGAGGTAATGTTATAGCTAAGTTGCACGAAACATTTTTAAGTAAGTGAAGGCACAGGTTTTGATCCATTTATTGAACTTACAAGACCATTTCTCTGTTGTACATTTTTTGTGGAGCACAGTCTGAAAGCAGTGTCTGCTGTGTATATTCTTTCCCCTGCCTATAACTTTTACTGTTGTTGTTCATCCAGTCTTGCCACCAAAATAATTAAATAAATTGCGAGTTGTGTTCATGAGAATCAAGTAAAGTCCAAGCGCATTATAGAGCAAAATAACCTTCAAAATCTATTAAAATGTTACATTGAAATGCATCACTTTTAAATCTATTTATTTTTATCCATATCAAGAAATTCTATCTCAGTTGCAAGCCTCGTCTTTACAGGCCTCCTTACTCCCTAATATCAGTATAACTGAATTATTTTAAAACATGTATTGTGGATTGGTTTCATCAAGTTCTCCTTTTCTACAGAGAGGCGACAATTTACTATCTGTCATCACATGCATTAAAGTTCACGTTTAGTCTTTTTCATGAAGAAAAATCTTCGCAACCACAGAATATTTTTTGAACATTTTCCATAGATGCTGCAGGTGGCAACGATGTATAATAGTTGGTGTAAAATAACAAGCTGAATCACACATTTGCATTGAAATTTCTACTGAAATCAGTAGCAGTATGAAACTACACTGATGAAAATACTGCATACAACAATTAGGTAATTCTGTACTGTGTGCCAACCAGTTCTGTAAACATGACTGTATGATGTCTGTGCAGATTCTGTCATCCAGGTCATAATAAGCTGAAAAAAACTTCAAAAAAATCAACTGGACTAGATTTCTAGGTCGAAGACGTTTCACTTCTCATCCAAGAGGAACTGAAGAAGCCTTTTTTTGAAGAAGTTTTTTTTTAGCCTATAACTGTATGATTCTGCTTAGCAGCTTTGGAAGGATTCATTGTCAATATCTCGTAGGTCCTGACCAGCTAGATGTTGTGGGCTGATGCATGTAATGTTGTTGTATATGGTGATAGTCGTGTCAGGCTCTTCACCCTCTGCGTGGGTCTCCACTTGCCGAGGGATCACCAATGGATTCCTCAAGCTGTAATGTCTGAGTGGGAGGGTGCTGCAGTCACAATTCCACTGGTTTCCAGACAGCAGAAGTTTTTCCATATTATCTGGGAAATCGGGGACCATGCTTGGCAAGGCATTAGCTCTCAGGTCTAGATAGCGCAGCCTTGGAAGTAGCTGTTTTGTGCCATTCAGCGAAAACTGTCGACATTCACTGTTGGACAATAGAAGGTACTCCAGATTCTTGAGGCCAGAGAAAGTGTTGGCTGTGAGAACCTCCAGCTTGTTGAAACTCAAGTCCAGTCCCAGTAGGCTCACCAGATCCGCAAAGCTCTGGCGTTCCACCACAGAGATGTTGTTGTGCTGCAAGAAAAGCCTCCGTAGACCAGAGAGTCCAGTGAAAGCTTGAGCTGTGATTCTTGTTAGGCAACCTCTGTCCAGATGAAGGCTGTGAAGCTTTGACAGTCCTTTGAACACCTGGTCTGGTAGACTCTGGAAGCAGCTTCCAGACAGGTTGATGACAGCCACATGAGAGAGGCCTGTGAAACAACCCACTTGTGCCTCCTGTACTTGGTTGTGCTCTAGCTCTAAGACCTCCAGATGAGCAAGCCCTTCAAAGATCCTCTCCCCCAGGGATCGGATCTTATTGTAACTGAGTCGTAGTTCTTCTAAGTACTGCAAGTCACGGAACGTCCTGGGCCTAATTCCAGTGAGAGAGTTGTTTGAGAGACGTAGTACATGAAGACTGTGCAGGCCCAGGAAAGTGTCATCATGCAGAGAAATCAGCCTGTTGTTAGTGAGATCCAACCATCTGAGTGACTTCATACCTAAAAAGGCTCTGGGTACCACTGTCACTATGTGATTCTGGGCAAGATAAAGCTTTTGCAGCTTAGTGAGTTTAACAAAAACATTGGCCTTAATGACCTTGAGATAATTTCCAGTTAAATCCAACTCTTTAAGCTCGGCAAGATTTTGGAAGAGCTGTGGCTGCAAATAAGCGAGTCTGTTCCCTGCGAGGACAAGCTCTCGTAGACCTTGCAGGTCATGGAAAACTGTTTCGGGTAAAACTGCTATTGAGTTCCACCCTAGGTTGAGAAGCCACATGTGTGAGAGTCCTGCAAAAAGTCTTTCCTCTATACGAGTAAGCTGGTTGTTGTGCAGACTGAGTGAAGCAAGGTTAGGTGTATTGTGGAAGATTACACTCGGTAATGCACGGATCCTATTTCGCTCAAGGTGAATATGTGCTAGTGACCTAAGTCCTTTAAGAGCCTGAGGATCAAGTGTTACCAGCTGGCCACTCTGTAGATTCAGAAAGTCTAGATTGGCGAGATCCCTAAAAGACGCTGCAGGGAGTGAGGAAAATAAGTTTCCATCCAGCCAGAGAGAATGAGTGGATGTTGGCATGTCAGACGGAATTTGTGTGAGGTTACGAGCACTGCAGTACATGCTGAGTTCCAAGCTGTAGTCCTCATAGAGACAGGTGCATTCCTTGGAGCATGGAACAGGCTCTTCAGTCCCCTTCTCTCCGGCTGTGTCAGGGTCTGGCAACGCCACTGATGTTCCCAGCACCCACAGCACCAACAGCACAATGGTTTTCATACCTGCTGCGGATGGATTAGATTAATATCAAAATATAAATACCCAGTAAATTCACCTCTGAATGCAGTGCCATTATATTTTTGCAACTAGTTTTTTTTTTTAATCTAGAACTTTGAATGCTTTTATGCTTTGAGGCCTAAGTACTATTGCTTACCTTAACTCCTTAAAGGTGGACACGCTGTGAAATAGTGAATGACTGAACCTTGTGCAACTGTTTGCATGTGCTGAATGGGAAGTCTGAAGCCCACTGGTTTTTTTTTTGAGTCAGATGCACTGAATGTGTGCAATTAACCCATTCATTTCCATTCTACATGGAGCTAAATGATGCCACGTGTTCATGTTTTTTGTAGTTTCCTGTTGTTTTCAAAGAGAATAATGAGCTAATATCAACTTTGATGATGTAAAATCTATGATCTTAGTTTTTTTTTAATGGTTATATTTTTATAAAGTCTGTAAAATGAGAACATTCATTTGCCTTAGTAAGGCGTTAATGATACTATTCTTAACATATCTCACACATAACTACTGTCAAACTAATAAGGGATTATATCATAGTGTACATTGGTGTTTACTGAAGTCAGGTTCCTGCCTCTGAATGCATCTACTTTAGGGTAAACTGATGTACAATGGTAAAGAAATACAGTGAACTCGGTGTACTACATCCTTTTGTCTGTAATGTAATTTGTATTTCACTTCTTACCCAAAACTTGGAGGTTTATAGATCATATTAAATATTAGTTTAGTCTCTAAGTGTCACAGTCCAAAGACATGCAGCTTAGGTTGACCGGTGACTTTAAATTGGAGGGGAGTGAGTGAGTGTGTGCGTGTGATTATCTGTCTCTGTGTGTCAGCCCTGTGATAGACTGGCAACCTGTCCGGGGTGGACCCGCCTCTCGCTCAGTGTCAGCTGACAGATAAGATAATGGATGGATGGATTGAAATATCAGTGTAACCATACCCCTATACCATAACTCCTTGTTATATTTAAATACAAATCAGCACCTGTTTGCACAAGCAATACGTAATAGACTGTAATGCCACTGCCTTTTCTGTTTCATTCACTTATTTCACAGTGAAGGAAGAGGTCAGTTCCAGAGGTCCATTTCCTAATCACAACTATGATTATAATGACTAACTTTCTGTTTACTCTTTTCTTGGTATCTGGGTTCTTTTAGACAACCATGAACTGGTCAAGCTCTAAAGGACAACCAAATCCAGATAACACTGTGTGCTTGCACATGAATTTCATCCACTGACTTGGCCACAGTGGATTCATAATATTATGAAGAACATTTATTATGTTGGACAAATCCTCTCAGTTTGTTATGTCTAACTCTGATCTGATCTGCTCCACTTCCATGATGAATAAGGCTAAAAGTTATCCGGTGGGCACAGTACGTGATGCACAGCACAACTTTCACAACTTTGCCTAAGGTTACCCTTGGTTGATTTACTGACAAATCCATTACTATTAAAGTAATTAGATTTTGAGTGGCAGTAGTTCCTGGTTTTATTTATTTTATAGTTCCAAATGGATTTATTAAATTATGCCTCAGTCTCTTTGTCATTTAAGATTAAATTGTAATCTACAATCAATAGTTTTATGGTTAATTGAATGGCTTCATATTGAGTAATAAATATGGAACACATTTACAGTATCCAGAGTGATTCTCAAATATCTCCTGCAGCATTTAATATAATGTGAAATGTGTTGTATGAAAAGACCAATGTATCTTCACTGAAACCTTTTGTAATATACATATCAACAACAACACGAAGCAGCACAGATGATAATAACACAGAGATCAGAAAACATCATGTCAAGAAGCTGTTAGCATCTGTCCTGATGAAACCTGGAGGGACCAAGTAATTGAATGAATTCAGATTTTAATTCCTCTTGCCAGTAGAGAGCACTGCTGGTCTGTTGTCACATTCAGGCCCAACAGCTTGTTTCGTCCATTGTCTGAAAAGGGCTCTTCTAAAGGAAACCATTTAGTGCTGCATAGAGTATGAGCAGGAGAGATTTTATTAAACACAGATCATGTAATGAGTTCAGCCTCGTGAGGTAACGCTGTGGAACCATAGCTCTCATATTTCTTCATGTCTCTGGGCAGTGCTTTCAAGATGACAACAAAAAGGGAGTTTGGTGTTTTTTGTTTCATGGAATAAAACTCAAATTATTTTACAAACAGGGAAATAAAACACTACTGTTTTTACAGCTGTTCCAGTCCAAACTCTCTTGTGCTGACTGGCTGTGGTAGTGAGTTGTTTCATGATGAGCCTCTGACAAACATATCTAATTGGCTTATTCCCCAGCACTCGAGCCTGCACAAAGAGTTCCAGGTTTGTCAGCTGCCATGGGCTTCCTATACAGGAGTCTTAATACTGAGTGGCAGAGCCGGCTGCTGCGGCTGGAAATGTTTGACTGGGCTGTGCCTGGCTTCTATAATGATAAATTTAAAGCCGCCTCAGCAGCGGCGAACAGGTCTGAAAGGCATGGTGTCAGTCAAAACTGGATGTAGGCACAGTGATCATACTGCCTCCTTTACTCTACTGGTTTGCAAATAAATGACAGCACTTTTGACTTGTACGGTAAGGAAATCCTGTTCAACCTTTAGGGTCCATTCAAACATAATCTAAATGCGTCCCCAGGTTAATTTGGCTGCTCCTTTTGTTCAGTCTGTTTTAGTCACTAGTGCATCACTTTTCATTGACAGACATGTTTAATTATTGTCTAAACATTACACTAACAAATAAAGCAAGTTTTTCAGTAATTTATTAAGTCAAGTTTATTTGTGCCACTGGTTGGGTCAGTTATCTAATACCATCCTCAACTTAACCTTTTTTTTGTTCTCAAGGGAAAATCTTCGTTTCACAGCCAAGTAAAACACAGAACACCTACATATACATAAGACAATGACAGAGTTTCACCTTAAATGTGCTGTGGGATTATGACTCAAACATTAGTAACTGTTGTGTTTGTTTTGTGGTTTTGTTTGTATGTTTGTTTTGTTTTTGTACACAGTTTAGGTCAGAGCTGATTCACCTTTGAAACCACACAACTTTCCCAGTTGCTTTTTCAGACATAGAGCTACTGAGGTATTGCCTACTGTATTTTTGTCAAGCAAAGTCAGACAAATCTGACAGTATCCCAAGTAAACCTCAGATCAGTACATCCTGTAAGAACCAGCAGCTGAATGCAGCAATCTGAACCTCGGAAAGAAATGGCTTTATAATCGACAAAGCCATAAAATGACAGATTGCTCCTCCTGTGCTGGTGCAGTGAGCCTCTGGATATGCATAATGTTGGACCCTCCTGTTGAACATAATATGGTGCAGCTGCAGGAGATAGCTGAAGGAGTTACTACCCTTTCCCTGTTCTGTTGCTATAACCAGACCCACACATCTCATTAAGTAAGGGAAAGGTTAAAGGATGGAGCTATTTTTTAAATTGCTGCTAAAATCCTAATTGAACCCAGTTGTTTTCTTTGTCCCTACACAGGCATAAAAAGAACAATCCAGCTTCCACAACCAGGGAAGTTGAACAGGTTAAATGTGAATATTTTGTTGAACACCGACTTTACTTTATACTGACTGATAGGCTCAGACAACACTGCCATCCGCTGGCCGATTGTTGGTCTGTAATGTCTTCATAGTAATGTAAACCTGAACAAAGAGAAGTTTGTCTTGTTTGAAAAAGACAGCTTTGAAACAGGGCTGCTCGGTGGCCTCGCACCCATTGAGGTGACCGTGGTTGAACACTGCTCTGAACCCAACTAGAATTGGGTTTGGTTCCAGCTTCTGAACCCTCGCACCCATTGAGGTGACCGTGGTTGAGCACTGCTCTGAACCCTATAGCGCCACCTCAACCCTTTGAGAGCCAAAGAGCTTGAACACCCCTGCAGTGGTCCACCTGGAGCTCACAGTCAACTCGCTGCTCTCTAGGATGGGGGACGAATCGGCTTTGTCTCGACATCTGCTAAAACTCAGCCTCTGTTCCTTAATCGATTGTGATCACCATGACCAGAATGAATCGATGCAGCCGTTCAATGTTGCCTGTAGGATGCTTGTGCCACGCTGCTGCCGAATCCTGTTTGGTCCAAATCCTTTAAATATATCTAACATTAAACCATATGGTTAATAATTTTAAAAATACTTCTGAAATATAAAGTATTGTTTAAACTTGATGCTAAACCTGAGGTTCGAAAGGCTCAGTGCATGTGATGATGTTTGGAATATGTATTTACATTTATATCAGAAACCTTTTGCTTGTGAGTGGTAGAATAAAAGGAGTTTTTGTTTTTATGGATGATGGTGACCAAATACTCATCCTTTGAGCATTCCTTTAAACTAAAGTTGTAATATTGACTGGTAAACTACAATACCTGCCAGTTTGTTTGACCGTGAAAGACGATCTTCTTACTTATTTAACTTAATTCAGTCTCCATTGAAACACTTTAATTTCTTCTCTCCTGTGAAGGTGTGCTGAGCAAATTCACAAACGTGGATGAAGTTTTGACTTTGCTGAATAACCCTGAACATCCCCAGATGCTGGGAGCCTTTGAGGACTTGAAGAGGACAGGTGAGAGACACTGCACACACTCAAACACACAAAAATCTGTCTGAATTAGCAGTCAAGCTTTGAGTCACAGGAGACCTGGATCCTATTCAGAGGTATGCGAAAGCATCTGGTACATCCCAGGAGAAACTCAGAAAATCCATAGCCTTTTCTTAGGTCTCTCATTCATTTATTTGTTAATGTATATATGTTTCATGGCCTTACCGTGACAAGGAAACGTTGGTGTTTTATTTACTGCAGGCCCACACGTAGGTTGGCCCAAAAAGGGTCTTGTTTTAATAGTACTGCGTCTGGAACTCACTGCTCCCTTCAGATGCCTTGCTTTTCCTCTGAATGTCATTTATAAAGGGTGAGGATTTTATTTTTGTCTGCAGCTGTATCCAGCTGAAAAAGTGATCTAGTTTTAGAGCCGTGCTTTCCA